CAATAGATAGAGAGAGTTAGATATGACAGGCAACAATAAACTACAGGACTCAAAACTGATTGCTGCATTAAGTATTGCATTAATATTTAAGCTTACCTTTTAAAAGTTCAGTGATAATTCTTCTGCCACCACTTATTTTAAAGACAATTTGATTCCAAAATGGTATGATATGTTGGGCTACATCCTCTAGGAGTAAAGTTTGAAACATGAGCTATTGAAAGTTAGAGAATTGTGTCCCTTTACTTGTTTTTATCAGTAGAAGCCAAGAAGGCAGAATCCAAAAACAATCACAGTATTGAGAACTTGGGAATCCAAAATTTCATGATTGCGATTCCAGATCCAGCCTGGAATTTTTTAATTTGTTCACAGAGTTGGCTTGATTCCAAAATGGTATTTTGGGCTACAGCCTCTAGGGCTGAATTTGAAAAAGTGTGACACATTAACATTTGCAATTATTATATAGAATTTAAGAATTTTTTGGTGGGAGATAATTTTACTAATTGACCCATAGCTGGAGAGAGAAGAGATGAATTCATAGCTAATCAGAATAAGATATAAAAAAAGAAATTATAATGTGGACATAAAGTGGTGTATCAATTCTGTATTATAATCAGTACATAAAATGATCCCTCACTTTAGTTTCTATACATTTATACTCCAATGTAAATAAATCTAAAAGACATGCCTGTGTAGCTAATCAGTATTTCATTGATTGATTGATTGTTTTTTTATGGTTTATCAAGAAATAAGAGCTTATAATGTGTATATAAAGTGGGAGATCAACCCCATGTTACAATCAATATATAAACCGATCCCTCACTTTGTGTCCGCGGTAGTTTCTATTCATTTATATTCCAGAGAATGTAAATAAATCTAAAAAACATGCCTGTGTAGCTAATCACTATTTCATTGATTCATTCATTCATTTTTTACAGCTTATCAACCCTTTGCAAGATATTTAAAGCCAGAGAATAGTTTTACTTTCTAAGAATTTCTTTTTGAAGATAATAATGATTTTAGTGATACGAGTCTGACTAATTAACCCATAGCTGGAGGGAGAAGAAGTGGATCCATACCTTTCCCAAGGGTATTTGCATGAAGTGAATATAACAAATGCAACTGGAATTGGAACTCAGCAGTTTGATTAACCATTCTGAGCCATTATCCATTACATTATTCTCACATCCAAGTTTACAGCATCTGGTGGTAGCCAAGCAGTCACCCATCTAGGCTTGATGTTGCTTAACTTTGATGATCATAGGGGAACCAATGTTTGAACATGATGTGGCCATAAGTAAGTGAAACCTAAGGATCTTGGCAAAGACCATACTTCTTCAAACATTACTAAACCGGCACTTTTGGGCCACACTAAAAATTTCAAGAAATTCCCTAAGACAAGTTGCGACTTATTCAAACCCCATTTTGTCCCTATTCAACCTACTACAAAAAAAAATTTTAACCATAAAGAGCAGTAGCAAATAACAGAAATCACATCACTTGAGGACATTCAACAATAGCAACAACTAAAATAGACAGCACATGCAACTCAAAGAAAAAACAATTCACCACTACTTTAAAGAAAAGGAATATATACTTGAAAAACACAGTAGAAAAAAAAAGTAAAGGTTTATTGTAACAAACCAGTACAATAAGAATAAAGGTAACAGCTATGCACAAGGATGTCACAAGTCAATCCAATAGTGAGTACTACGATTGGAAGGTTGGTAGTTCTTGCATAAATCTGAGTCATACTCAACAGATCCCAGCTAGCCTCCATAGTCCGTTGACTTACAGATACTTATAGGTAGTTACTACCTATAGTGTAGTCACTCATGGGAGTGACAGGTTATTCCATTACATCAGCTTTCTATGTGGACTAATGATGTTTCTGCATAGATTGAGTTTAACATCAAGGTATTAAATATTAATCATATTACATGTTGATTTTTATATCTACTCTGTATATATCCTCGATACTGAACTCCCATTAATATTCCAAATTATAAACAACCCCATATATATATATATATATTTCATCTTATCTTCATTGCTGTGTACTAGTAGTAGATATGATAGTCTTAGGTAGTCTGTTTTTCTTAGATGAAGCACTCTCAAAATTATCAATTTTTGGCTATTTCTGCTATGTTAATTTTTGCTGCTTTTTATCACAATAGGCAGGTTGTTTTTTACACCATTTTAATTCGGATGAGTAGCCTCCTTGATTAGGCACTGTTATAGTTAAACAAGCTGCCATGAAATTATTAGCAACACATCAATTAAGAACATTCAACAATAGCAACAACTAAAATAGACAGCACATGCAACTCAAAGAAAAAACAATTCACCACTACTTTAAAGAAAAGAGTAGGAAGGTGTTATATTCCCTGCTAATAGGAATATATACTTGAAAAACACCGTGGATAAAATAAGTAAAGGTTTATTGTAACAAACCAGTACAATAAGAATAAAGGTAACAGTTATGCACAAGGTCGTCGCAAGTCAATCCAGTAGCGAGTGCTACTATTGGAAGGTTGGCAGTTCTCGCATAAATCAGAGTCATACTGAACAGATCCCAGCTAGTCAATATTTACTAGCCAACCCCCCATGAAGGTAGATGTGGCACAAGGCCAGGTTTAACATGTGACATCTGAGCCCATAGGCTCAGCCAAAAATTCCCCGTAGAACCTGCATAAACAGGTTCAGGTCTATCTACCTCCCCGGACAAGACTCTGTCCTTCAGCATAGCCTTGTCCAGGTTCCTCTCTGCCCGAGGGCAGAGAGTTCGACAGCACAGCTGAAAAAGATTCCTGCTAGTTAATATTTACTAGCCCCCAACCACGAGGGTAGATGTGGCAGAAGGCCAAGTTTAACGTGCGACATCCAAGGCTTAGCCAAAAATTCCCCGTAGAACCTGCATAAACAGGTTCAGGTCTGTCTACCTCCCCGGACAAAACTCTGCCCTTCAGCATAGCTCTGTCAGGGTTCCTCTCTGCTCGAAGGCAGAGAGTTTGACAGCACAGCTGGAACAGATTCCAGCTAGTATATTTAGTTACCCCACCCCATGAGAGCTGCATGTGGCACAAGGCAGGTTTAATGTGGGTTCTCTGAGCCCATAGGCTCTGCTAAAAATATTCCTTTTTTGAACCCGCATAAACAGGTTTAGGGTCAGTCTACCTCCCCGAACAAGACTCTGCCCTTTGGCAGGGGCTCGTCCAGGTTCCTCTCTGCTCAGAGGCAGAGAGTTTGACCTGCAAGCTGAAAAAGATTTCAGCTAAGCTCTGTAGTCCGTTGACTTACAGCTACTTATAGGGAGTTACTACCTATAGTGTAGTCACTCATGGAGGTGACAGGTTATTCCATTACATCAGAAGGAAACTACCATCAATACTGGAAAGATCAATAACAGCTACTGAACTTGAGAAATCTATTTTCCTAAAAAATTGTTTTAAGAGAAACATTTTATAAATTTCAACTAACAGGAATACTGTCTACTCAGTCAATGAATGCAAAATGTTTCCTTATAAGAAAACAGCTAATATTATCATTACTATTCACACTTAGTGTCCTATTCTTATGACTTTATGGATAACTAATGTCAGTTTAGTAAATACCAATAGATACTTTTAGCTCTATGCATCAAAAATACCAGCAGACAGAATTAATTCTTGGATCAAGCTAAGAAAAACTGATTATATATAATGAGTAGGTCAAAACATATGTTAATTTTCTCAGTACTTTTACAAAACACTTCTCTTTATTTTTTAATTGTATGTGGTAATCGTTTTGTGTTTTGCTTTACTGAGCAATTTCGCACCCAGAGTAAGGAATTCCTCTCGCTTTATAATGTACCTTTCTTCTCCCAACACACTCTCCAGTGAGCTTTCTTATCCGTAATTTTGACTTCATTCCAAAGAAGATAATAGGCTCTTGTTTCTTTCCATATATGTTTAGACATGTGCAACTTTATTACCTCAGATTATGTTTCTTCGGTGTCCTTCAAGTTTCATTTTGGGAGTTAGCTAGTTTCACTTGTATGTTCTCTACCAGTATACATGACATCAAAAGAAATGAACTACCTATGAAAAAATCAATTTATTTGACAAAGTCTAACTTAGGGCCAGACAAAAAACAGTGCCTGAAAAGGATATTTTCTTTTTGACACTGCAATTACTGTTTACTGGTAATTTTTAATGATTTGAAAAATGTTACTTCTATTAGTCAACAAAAGAAAGGAACTACCTAACTAAAATATCAATTTATTTTATTTTTACTAAGAGCTGTTGTGCTTCACTTTACTGAGAGTTTTCAAACTTTTATATCTAGAGGATGCCATGTTACTTCCATGTAATCGAATCACCTTCATTTCCTCCATATTTCAAATGTAAGAAGGAAATTCCACTTAGATTTTTCACAGAAACTTCCACTCTATGGAACAGATTCACATATGATTGCCTCTCTAAACACTACAATTATAACCTATTCAAGTTAAGGGTCAGTCTATCTATACTCTTCATCCTAATAATCTTCACTACCTACCTCCTATTTTTTCATTCACATCAGTCACCTCATACATCATTATCATTTTAACATTAACCCACTACCTTAAGTGGCACCTGAACCTTGTGTTGGGGTGAATTTTAGTATATAAAAAGCATGCGCATAGCAATGAATTCCTCATGCAACTTTCTTCTCTTTACACACTCTCCAGTCAGCTTTCTTACATGCACTTTTGTCTGCCCAAAAAAGATAACAGGCTCTCATTTCTTTCCATATATACAGGGCCAGCTCAAGGAACTGGCAACTAGAATTTAAATAAAATTTCAATAAAACCATAACATATGAAAGTGAATTTATACTTTTTTCTCAAGAACTGAAAGCTTATGACCACATGATATTAAAACACTGGTTTTCCACTGATTTACCTGCAATGTCACAGTATTATGAAGTTAGGCTAGGTACATATATTAGTAGTCTATAGTATATTGGTGAACTATTTACTTATGGTCACATCACGTTGAAACACTGTAACATTCCCATACAATCACCAAAGATAAGCTATACTGAGCCTGGTCAGTACCTAGATGGGTGACCACTTGGGAATACCAGGTACTGTAAGCTTGGATGTGCAGGTGGTGTAATGGATAATGGCTTGGAATTGTTAATCAGAGAGACAAGTTCCAATTTCTTTTGGGTTCATTATATTCACTTACACAAAAATGCCCTCAGGAAAACTATGAATCCACCTCTCTCCCCCAGCTATGGGTTAATTAGTAAGACTTGTATCCCTAAACCAATATTATCTCCAATAAAAATCCTTACAATCTAAAAATGTTTTCTGTCTTTAAATAACCTGCAAACAGTTGATAAGCCATAGAAAACAAATTAATCAATCTCAAAAACTGACAATAAAAATGTTAAACACTTTATTTATCTGTCTATATTTCTGAAATGAAGTATTGTAATTATTTACAACATTATTCATAATGTTTGACAAATGGCCCAGTGGATAAAAGCGTTGGTTGAATCCAGTGACATGATCCAAAGAGTTGTGACTTCAAATACCTGGCAACAGCAGATGTGAACAAAAACTAGGAGAGTTGAGTTAAAGAGAGATAACTGATACTAAGACATATAGAAGAGGCATGACACGTGGAACTAGAACAATCTACCCTGACTGATGAAATAAAGTGTTCAGTTTGAAATTCAAATCACTATTTATTTATTCTATTGTTTATTAATAAACAATTCTTGTTGATTATAAAAGAAAGATGTGAGAACAATATTTTTTCCTGTCGTCAGTCTGTTATGTGCTATGTGTGATAGGCGATCATGTATCTTTTGATACATGACTCACAAGGCAGATTTTTTCCCATAGTAGGTTGCCATTTCTTTCTGTAGTAGACCAGTTGCCATCCAAGGCTATAGAACACAGTCTGTCCTATTTACCCATAGCTAGGAGGAGAAGAAGAGGATTCATACCTTTTCCAAGGGTATTAGCACGTAAGTGAATGTAATGGATTTGACTGGAATTTGAACTCGACTCTCTAATTCCTCAAAGGCACAGTGGAGTAATAGATAGCGGCTTGGATTGAGGAATCAAAGGGCCAAGTTTGAATTCCAGTCAAATCCATTACATTCATTTATGTGCTAATACCCTTGGAAAAGGTATAGATCCTCTTCTTCTCTCCAGCTGCACATCCAAGCCATTTTTAAAAGTTGTTTGCAACTGACAATTTAGATATTTCTGAACAAGTTTGGTGCTATGCCTTATAGCCACATGAAAGTCTTGATCTGACAAGACTATTTTAAGAAGATGGTTTATTTCAGTTTTGTAACAGCTTGTAGTGTTGGAGAAAACTACCCCTAGCACAGCCTATTATATGTTCAGTTTCCGTATCTCCTATAATAAATTTGTTAGAGAGATTAGGGAGAATGGAGATCAAGTGACAACAAAGTGCACTATAAAAAAATGATAAGAGGTACTCAGTGAGATATAAAACGAAAATAATTTTATTAAAATCAAAGAAAATCTTACTAAATATTAGCGATAGACAAATTTGGTGGCTTGTGTGCCCAGAAAAGGGGGTAATAAATTCCTTGACAAGTAACTTTTTTTTTCTAAAATAGGGCTCAACAGTAGTTGTAGGAAAAATATCAAGTTTACAATCAAAATCAATCAAATAACTGGAATATCACAAGAAAAATGTTAGCATATAAAAAACAATACAAATTACAAGGAAGACGGTTCCAGTGAGGTCGAACCCAGTTAAAGGGGTATATTTACCTTCAGGGTATAAAATGTGAATGTTCTTAATAGTTCTTGTGATTTGATGTGAGTTGTCAAAGTTCATGAGAGAATCTGTTCATGCCTTCAAAGTTCAAAGTCTTCAACATAGAGCATTGTTTTGAGAACAGTATTTGTTCTCTATCGTGGAAATGACTATTTTGTTACAATAGTCAGGGTGACAATGAGATTTAATTCTGTTGTGAAAATGACAATTTGGTTGTCAAGACTTTGTTGAGGAATGATATTGTGGCTGCTTCTTTAAGTCCATATTTGGTCAGGATTTCAGATATTTTTAGAAGGCATTGCATCTCCCATTACTCTGGCGTCATATCTCCTACCCTCAGTGTTACATCTGCCACTGCTGGCGGTCATGTCTACTACTCTCCCTTGATGGTTATATTGAAGGGTCAGCTCCAATTTACCAAAAAATTTTGATGGTCGACGCAAACATTTCATATTTCAACTGGTTTCAATAGCCATTGGTTAAAAAATCACGTTTATCAAAACTATTGTAGCAGAAAAAAATACTTCTTTTTGTTCCTTTTCCTTCACCTTCAGTTGATCCCCTCCACTCCTTGGTCAAGGAGCTTTGCTCAAAGACTGGCAAGGTTCAGGTTTCAGTAAATTATTTATTATCTTCATCCTTTCCGCCCCAAACTACCAAAGGGTGAAATTTACTCAGAGTAAAAAAATTAATTTTTAACAATATTCAGTGCCCATCTCTTCACATCTGTGCTTGTATATACACATGGTATAGTCTAGGAAGAAATTAAATAGATTGGGACTCTTATTTCCCTCTTGCCTGATGAGGTTTGAAATATTTCTACATTGGATTCTTCACTAGACATGTACGACTTTGTTCAGTGATATAATTCCTCTATCAGATCACGATATTTAGTGAAGTCAGAGCTTGGAAGAATGAATGAGAAGTCAATAGTGATATAGTTATATGCTGCTGTGAAGTCAACATAGTATGTATACAATTTTCTATTGTAAAGGTATGCAATTTCTTGGAGTTGTTTGATTATATATATATGAGGAAATGCAAAGCTCTTCAGTAAAATGAACTGGAGCCCTCTGACTGATTGGCGTTGGTTTACATTTGTAAAAACAATATGCTAAAATTAGCTGTTTCCCTCTGCCAAATGAAGATAGCTCAGTTGTAGAAATTCTGACTGACACCAAATCAATCAGGTTTCGGTCCTGGCTTGAAGCATTCAGATGTTTAGTCGCACTGAGGAGCTGTGATACAGCGAAACAGTACTGTCTCTGGAATGAATGATATATATATATATATATATATATATATATATATATATATATATATATACCATCATTACATTCCTTACCAAAATGAAAGCTTGGGGTTGTGAGTTGACTTTCATAGAAAAGTGAGGGTTTAGTTACTCATTAGTTCATTAGTACTTTCACTATACTGGATCAAAATTAGACACCTCTGTATGTGTGAGGCTCTTGAAGTGTAAATAATGACTTGAATAGCAATAATGATACTTTAAACAAACAGAATACATATAAATTTATTACTATTGTGTTTTATTTCAAGCAACAGTTGAAAAGAAAGGTAAATTCTTCAAGAAAACTATCATTTTTGATCATATTCCATCAACAAAGGCTCAAGAATAGAAAGAACATTAAAGAGTGGGTTACATTGAATTAGAAGAAGATAAATGACTGCTTAACTGAAAATGCTGTGGTGTCTTCAGGCTTTTAAGCAAGGTGATATAATCTTTTGTACTGATTAAAGGTACCATTTTGAATAGTAATGCTAGTGTGAGTTTTTTGGAAGTCCTATTTTGTTCCCAATACAAGTGCTGTCTCGAATAGTAATGTGGATGCTAATTTTTCAGAAATACAATTTTGTACCAAATACAAGTGATTTCTGAAAGAGTCGTGCCAGTGGAAATTTTTTAGAATTACTCTTCTGTACCAAACAAGTCATGTCATTGAGAATTTTTCATAAATACTCTTTTGTGCTGAATATCGGTGTCATCTGAAATAGTCCTGCCAGTGAAAAATTTTCCATAAATACTCTTTTGTATCGAATAAAGGTACCATATGGAATAGTCATACCAGATGGAATTTTTCCAAAGAATTCTTTTGTACTAAATACAAATCTTGTGTGAAATAGCCATGCTGGTGCAAATTTTTTCAAACTACTCTTTTGTACCAAATACATGTGCAGTTTGGAAGAGTCATGCTGGTGGAAATTTTTTATAAATACTCTTCTTTTTTCTTTTTTTAATTAATTCACCCCATACAAGGTAATAATGCCCCTAAAGTATAATGAGTTACTGAGTGTGAAAGAAGGTGAGAAAACTTAGATTTTTGTGAGGAGATAGGATAATAAAAAACAAGGTGTAAAAAAACAGAATACGGCAAATGGAATTGCATTAAAACTTATTAAGATTGCAGGTTGGAGGGAAGCAAGAATCTGGATGAGAGTTCCACAGGCAAGAAGTGCAAGAAACTATCAGAATAGAACTTGTAGTTACATTTATCTATTTTCACAGTAAAAAAAATTGAGACCTAGTTGCTAACTTAGTAATTTGCTTAAATTTTTGTGGTCAAGGTACCAAGGACAAAAGCAATATTTATTTTGAAAATATAAGAATGTGACACAAGGCCAAAAGAGGGGATAGAATAAGGCTGGTCTTCAATCTATCTTATCTTGAACTTAGCTAACCACAATTACTGACACAAACATGCCAGAGTATTCCTTACACCAAAACAAGACTTAATTACAATTCTTACTACAGTCACCATAATACCTCAAGTCTCTATGAAGTCCTAACTCATTCCTATATGTGCAATTTGTACCAAGGAGGAAAGCATATTAGAAAATATTGTCACGTAGCCACGATTTCATTAACCATATAGGCGTTAGGCTAAAGTAAAATCTTAAATAAAGAGAAAATTAGTTAGATATAAAAGAAAAATAAATAAATAAATAAAAACAGAAATTTAATCCAATGCTTCCGACTCGAGAGCGAATATATTCTATGATCAGCCATATCCTTCTCTTCTTTTCCCAAATTCTTTCTCCCTTTCTCTACTCTTCCACCCACGTGACTGTCGTTGGGGACAGCGAAAACCAAAAAAGGATTTTTCAGTTTCCCTCTGACCAGCGGTAGTTGAACGTCGCTGGGCAAAAATCGTCAGACCACCCACTGAGATGAGGAAGACAGCAAAGTCTGTCGACTGGGAGTGAAAGGGCTGCTATGGACTGATCAACCCAACTAAATGCCTGTATGAAATGCTGGGGACCCACGAACACTCGCGAAAAGAAGAAGAATCCAGGAACATTGTCG